GTGTAAAGCGCTTTGAGTATCTTGAAATAAGATAGAAAGGCGCTATATAAGTACAGTCCATTCCATTTACCATTTAAAAGAATACAACATTAAGACGCAGATGCTGACTCACTCTAGGTTAAAAGCCAATGAAAAAAATGTGTTTTTTAAAGGAGTTTTAAAAACAGAAAGTGACGGGGCCTGCCTGACCTCCAGTGGCAGCTCATTCCACAATTTAGGAGCCAGAGCTGAAAAGTCTCTGTCTCCTCTGGATTTATAAAAGGTTTTCGGGACTGCTAAAAGCATCGGGTCAGAGGATCTGAGAGCACGTGATGGCATGTAAAAGTCAAGCAGTTCAGACAAATAAAAGGGACTAAGACCATTCAAAGACTTAAAAACAAACAATAGAACTTTTAAATTAATTCGAAACTGGACAGGAAGTCAGTGAAGGGACATCAGAACTGGAGTGATGTGCTCACACGATGAGCGGTATGGTAGTTACAGCCAGTTATGAATCTTAGTGCACCATGATAGACAGCGTCTAACATCTGCAGGTTCTATGAGTATAGGCTTCGCCCTTTAAGGCTATCGCTAAATGGGTTTATCCCTTCGCGCGCAGCGCAGCACTGAAAACTTTAGTCCATGCCCACCTGCTGTGAGGGCCTCACCCCAAGTCCTTATAAATTACGGTGAGACAGGGTAATCGGCTCCCATTTTTTCTTCAGCCAGCTAGCTAGCACTGTCAGAAGAACAAAAAAGGAAAAGATCTCCAGCTTTGACCAGCACAACCTTTGCTAAGGATGCCTGGGTCTAGCCACGCTAACCTCCTGCCATCCCAGTGAGCTCTTCCTCCCCGAGGAGAAGCAGAGATGAGCAGCCTTGTTCAAGGTAAGTGCCGAGGAGTGTTTTTCCGTGGCGGGCCGCTACTCGCTGGACGATGCCATCACCTTTTCTAACGTTTTTTCCTTGTGGTGAATCGGATGATTCACTCGAAAAAGGCGTTGTTGGCAGCAGCTCCGCTAGTGTTTTTTCCATGGAGGGCTGCTACTCGCTAGACAACGCCACCGCCTTTTCTAACGTGTTTTCCTCACGGTGAATTGGATGATTCCCTCGAAAAAGGCGTTGTTGGCAGCAGCTCCGCTGAGTGTTTGTCCGTGACGGGCTGCTACTCGCTGGACAACACCATAGCCTTTTCTAACGTTTTTTCCTCGCGGTGAATCGGATGATTCCCTCAAAAAAGGTGATGCGTGCAGCAGCTCCGCTGAGCGTTTTTTCCATGGCGGGACACTACGCTCGGGACGACGCCACCGCCTTTATTTGACGCAGAGTCACGCAGTGAATTGAATGATTCCTCTGTGAAAGGCGATGCTGAAAACAACCTCGCTGCCCCTTCCCTCCTGGAGAGTATAGTGACGGAAGAAGAGCGGTCGAACGGATGCTCAGCCACTTCGGGTCTTCCCACGTCGGCGACCACACTGCCCCCAGCCATCGGCACCCTTCTCTCGGAGCTGCCTGGCATAATCCAGGAGGCTGCTAACACAAAGGGACTTTCCATCCCTCCCCTCCCTCCGTCCTAATTGGATGATCTGGCGGTAAGGTTTGGCTCCACCCCGGCTCGTCGCCCTGATCCCATCTGGCCTCGTTGTCCATCTGTGACGTCACATTGGAACGAGGCTGCAGTTGGGCTGGCAAGCTGAAGACATCCGTCTCCACATTCGCCTCCATCTCCAGAGTGGAAGATTTTACCGATGGGTGTTTTTCCCTTAGTTCTCCCCCCAGAGCCAAGCCTGGCGGAGGCACTTGGGGCAAAAGCTTCCAGGATGGACCGGCAACTTATCCCTCCAGGAAAGCATGACCAGAGGGTGACAAAGCTCTCCAACCAAGCTTACCAGTGCACATCCCAGGCGGTTGCGGCAAACAACAACATCCCTCTGCTGGCCTACAGCCTCTCAAAGAGGCTGGAGGAAGCAGAGCTGCTGGAGGAGACAAAGAGTTCTCTCTGTAAAGCCGCTGACATCATCTTAAACATGTGCGCTTCCTCTGTGGTCTGCCTGTTCCGCATCGCCGCCCGGATGACCATGATCCAGAGGACCACCTGGCTCCGCCTCTCACCATCCTTGTCCAAGAGACTGCAGAAAGACCAGCTGGAGGGCCCCATCACCCCAGAGGTGCTGTTCGGTGCCAACTTCAGGACCATCCTTGAGAAATCGCAGAGGTCCGAGGAGGTCTCAGAGACTGTACACCATCTGGTGACGTCACAGTCCTCTTCCCGCCCCTCTGGCCGCTGAAGGGACTGCCTTGGCAAGCAACAGCAGCAGAGGTGCACCACAGCTGCAGCAGCGACTTCACGCTCCGCTCCTCCGCTGGCCCCCTCCACCAGGGAACAGCTCCTTGAGGGGAATATGTGTGTTTTTGAATATGTATGTTTTGAAATAAAACAGAAACATCTCTGAAAGTAACATTTCATCTGGGACTGTCAGATCAGTTGATCTCACAGCTGCTTCTCTTCACACATTCCCTACACAGAACGAGCCAGTAACCTCTAAACAGCGTTTTAAATGGCACCGCAGTTCAGTAAATATCACAAAACACTCATCTGCCACGTCAGCTAAAATTATGTTTTTTCAGCAGACCGAGTCCGGTAAAATCCCTCGTTTTCAGCCAGAGCTCGTTTTTAATTTCTACTGTTTTCTGCCCACTTCAGAGTCAGAGTCAGAGTCAGAGTCAGAGTTTCTTTATTGTCATTCGCACCTCATGTGGTACATGTGGTGGAGCGAAATTATGTACACGGGGTCCCAGTTACATCCAACAATAAAATGTCTAAGAAAAACAGTAATAACATCTAAGATATGAACTAAGAAAAACATCAACTAAATATACACTAAGCACTCATAACATAAAACATTGAACATCAGCACAAACATGAACATGAGTCTGTGAGCAGATGTGCACGCATGAACACATCAACATTGAAACAGATCAGCAGCAACATGAAACAGATCAGCAGCAGCATGATATGGTTTTTCACAGTGATTATTCTAGTTAGAGATTCATGAGTCTAACAGCCTCAGGGTAGAAGCTGTTCCTCAGTCTAGTGGTTCTACACTTAATGCTCCTTAACCTCCTTCCTGAGGGGAGTGGGGCAAAAAGTGTGTGTGCTGGGTGGGTGGGGTCCTTCATGATGCAGGTGGCCCTCTTCCTGCATCTGGAGGTGTAGATGTCTGTGATGGTGGGGAGACTGATTCCAACAGATTTCTGTGCAGCCTTCACCACTCTCTGCAAAGCTTTTCTTTCTGCAGCTGTGCAGCCTCCATGCCACACATTGATGCTCGAGCACAGGATGCTCTCCACTGCACACCTGTAGAAGGAGGTGAGGACTGAGCTTCCCAGACCAGCTCGCCTCAGCCGTCTGAGGAAGTAGAGTCTCTGATGAGCTTTCTTGATCAGGCTGGTGGTGTTGTTGCTCCAGCTGAGGTTGTCATTCATGTGTACACCCAAGTACTTGTAGCTGGAGACCACTTCCACCGCAGATCCTCTTATGTTCAGGGGGGTGTAGGTGTTTTTGTTCCTTCTGAAGTCCACAATCATCTCCTTTGTCTTCTTCACATTGATGTGAAGGTTATTCTCTCTGCACCATCTCTCCAGGTGTTCCACCTCTTGCCTGTAGCTGGACTCATCATTGTTTGTGATGCATCCCACCACCGCTGTATCATCTGCAAACTTTACAATGTGACAGCCTGGATGGGTAGCTGCACAATCATATGTGAGCAGAGTAAACAGAAGGGGGCTCA